AAGTCGACAAGATTGAAAATAGGAAAACAACACAGAGAAATCAATGAAACTAAGGGCTGGTTCAAGTGGTATTGACAATACCAATAAACTGATATTCTCCTTTCTTTCATCAGACTGATTAGGAAAAAAAAGATACAAGTTATGAACATCAGAAGTGACAGAGAGGCCATCATTACAGTCTACAGACAGTAGCAAGATAGTAAGGGACCACAATAAACTACTTTATACCAATAAATTTGACAACATGGATGAAATGGAGAGAGGACTTAAGAGGCACAAATTATCAGTTTACTCAGGAAGAAACAGGTAACATGAAAAACTCTTTATCTATTAAATGAACTGAATCTGTAGTTACGAGCCTTCACAACAAAGAAAGGTACAAGCCTAAACTACTTCATTGGCAAATACTAACAAGCAGTTAAGAGAGAGACTATCAATTTTACACATATTCTTGTAGAAAACTTGAGGCTATGGAGCACCTGGGTGGCTTCGTCGGTTAAGTGTCCAACTGTGGATTTTGGCTCAGGTCATGATCTTGCAGATCTTGAGATCAAGCCCCACATCAGACACTGTGCCAATAGCACGGAGCCTGCTTGGGATTCTCCCTCTCCTCTGCTTGCACTCACTCTCCAAATAAATAAATAAGCTTAAAACAAACAAACTAACCAACCCTGAAGACTATGGAAAACTTGGCAATTCGTTCTATGGGGCTAGTAACACTGTTTGCATTCTGTGATAGACATTACAAGAAAACTGCAGACCTAGCACACAGACCTAGCACAAATTCCTACCTAAATTCTATAAATCAATGCCAATGACAGATAAAAGGACAATACATATCCAAACCAAGTGGGGTTTATCCTAAGAATGCAAAGTTAGTCTAACATTGTAAAATCAATGTATTTCTATTAGGAAGCTAACAAGAGAAACCATGTATTATATCAATAGATTCAGGAAAAGCATTGCCCCAAACCAACATTCTTTAGGATCAAGGAAGGCTCTCAGCAGCAACTCAGGAATGAAAGAGAATTTCCTCTGTCTAATAGAGGGTACACATGAAAAAGTATCACCATAAAAAAGTCATGGTGAAAAAAATGTTTTCCCCTTAACATCAGAGACTAGGCAAAGACATAGGCTCTCATCATTCTACTCCATGTGGCCCTGAAGGTTGCAGGCAGTGTAATGCGGCAAGAAGGTAAGATCGACCACATGCAGTGCTGCCAAGAATGCGGAACAACTGGACCTCTTACACCCCGGGGATACAGATGTCAATGATAAAGCTGCTCTGGACAGGTTTGAAAGTTTCTGAAAAAGGTGAACATATACCTATGCTTTTGTTTACACTCCCTGGTATTTATCCAGGAGAGATAAAAGCATAAATACAATCACACATATGTGAAGATAATTATTCATGAGTATTTGTAGTAGCATTTTATAATAGCGGAAAACAGGAAACATTCCAAATACTCAACTGGTGAATGGATGAACAAATTGAAGTAAAACCATACAATGTAATACCATTCAGCAATAAAAAGGATTAAACTATTGATACATGTAATGTGGCTAAATAAAAAAAATACAAATGTATATACATCAAGAATACGTCATATATATGTGTATATATGTAATACATATTTTATGCAAAAGATGTATCATATATAATTTTACATGTATGTTTAGTATATTACATAAACAGTATATATAAATATGTCATATATACTAATACAAGTGTGTATATACATATGCATTACTGACAGAAAGTAGCCAGAAAAAATTGCTACAAGCTGTATGATTCTATTTATAGAGACTGCAGAAAATGCAAATTATCCATGGTACAGAAGGCATCAGTGACTTCCTGGGGACAGAGTAGGAGATGGGATGAACAGATCAAAAGGAGCATAGAGGCTCCTGGGTGGCTCAGTGGGTTGAGTGTCTAACTCTTGATTTCAGCTCAGGTCATGATCCCTCCGCCCCCTCCCCTGGCTCATGCTTTCTTTCTCTCTCTAAAAATGAAAAATTTAAAAAAAGGAGCATATAGAACATTTAGGGAGACTGGATATATTTACTAACTTGAACATCCTAATGATTTCATGTATGTTTACACGTGAATACTCACCAGCTTCCTTAACCTGATGGAAGTTTATCTACCAAAACCTTCAGCTAATGTCATGTTTAGTGGTCAAATACTAGATACTCTTCCCTAAGCAAAGATCATGAAGAAAGCAAAGCTGACCACTTTTCCCACATCTATTCAATATTGTACTAGAAGCTCTAGCTATTGCAGTAATGCAAAGGGAGGAATAAAGGAAGGGAGGGAGGGGAGAATAAAAGGAGAAGATAAGGAAAGGGAGGGAGGAGTGGAGGCAGAGAGGGATAAAGGAAGTAAGTTAGTTAAGGAAGGGCATAAGAATCAGAAAGGAAGAAGTAAAACCTTATCTCTATCTGCAGATAACCATGACTGACTACCTAGAACAGCCTCCGGGATCCACATTACAACCACTAGAACTAAACAGTGACTTTGGCAAGACTGTAGGATACAAGGTAATTATTTCAAAGTCAGTTATATTTTTATATACCAACAGAAAATATTTAGAAAATGAAGTTCAAGATTAATTCCATTTACAATCATATAAGGTAAGACTGAAGACTTGGGAATAAGTTCATCAAAGGATGTATAAGATTTCTACACTAAAAACTACAAAGCATTGTGGAGCAAAATTAATGACCTGAATAAATGTAAAGAAATACCACGCTTGTGGACTGAAATACTTACTATTGTTACAATGTGGTTTCTCCTCCTCTCAAAACTACAATCGCAAGCATACAATCTAGCAGGCTTTTTGTAGCAAGTGGTAAATCAATTCTAAAAGTTATATGGAAATACAAAGTGTCTAGAATTTCCTGAAAAACACCCACAATTTTAGAAGACTTATATCCTACCTGATTTCAAAACCAACTAAAAATCTAGAGTAATGAAAACAGCATGGTACCGGCATAAGGAACAGCAAACAGATCGGTGGGATGGTGTGTAGCTTCAAGAAATAAGATGTGAACTTCTATCAGTCATTTGACTTTCAAGAAGGGAATCAATGAAATCCAGTGGGGAAAGGAAAGAATTTTCATCAAATAGTCCTAGAAGTAACTGTATGTCCATAAATAAAAAAAAAAAATATGAACCTCAACTCCTATAGCCTACCATCATCAAATATTAATTTGTGATGGATCATAATCCTAAACATAAAACCTAAAATCATGAAGTTTTTACAGAAAAACAAAAGAACTTCTATATGATTTGGTAGTAGGCAAAAGTTACACAAAGCAGTAAGTATAAATGAAAAAAAGCAATAAAGTGGACTCCAAATTTAAATACTTCTGCTCATTAAAGACACCATTCACAAAATAAATAAGCAAGACACAGATGGGGAGAGATTACACACATATATCTATCAAAAGATTGGTATGCACAATATTTGTAAGAATCCAAAAACTTAATATAAAGACAGCCCACAAAAAAAGGACAAAATGTTTAAATGGAAACATCACAAAGGGATAAAAATAGAACTACTCTACAACCCAGCAATTGCACTACTAGGTATTTATCCAAAGGATAAACAAAAATGATGATTCAAAAGGGCAAATGCACCCCAATGTTTATAGCAGTGCTATTGACAACAGCCAAATTACAGAAAGAGCCCATATATCCATCGACTGCTGAACGGATAAAAATGATGTAGTGTTTGTGTGTGTGTGTGTGTGTGTGTATACATGGGCATGCATGCCCATAGTGGAATACTACTCAGCAATCAAAAAGATTGAAATCCTACCATTTGAGACAATGTGGATGGAAGTGGAGGGTATTATGCTAAGCGAAATAAGTCAGTCAGAGAAAGACAAATATCATATGATTTCACTCATATGGAATTTAAGAAACACAACAGATGAACATAGGGGAATGGAAGGAAATATAAGATAAAAACTGAGAGGGAAGCAAACCATAAAAGACTCTTAAATACAGAGAACAAACTGAGTGTTGCTGGAGAGTGTTGGGCTAAATGGGTCACGGTCATTAAAGAGGGCACTTTTGGGGATGAGTGCTGGGTGTTACATGTAAGTGATGAATCATTAATTTCTACTCCTGAAAACATTATTATACTGTTTACTAACTTGGATTTAAATTAAAAAAAAATAAAAATAAAAGTGGTCCTTTCTGGGATGGGCACTGGGTATTGTATGAAAACCAATTTGCAATAAATTATATTAAAAAATTAACCAATAAAAATGTTCAACATCTCTGGTCACTGGGAATATGCAAATAATGACTATCATGACTGAGGTGCCTCAGTTGAGCATCTGACTTCGGTTCATAAGGTCCAGCCCCATTTCGGGCTCTGTGCTGAGAGCTCAGAGCCAGAAGCCTGCTTTAGATTCTGTGTCTCCCTCTCTGTTACCCCTCCTCAGGTTGCTCTCCCTCCCCTGCTCTCCCTCTCCTGCTCTCTCCCTCTCTCTCTCCTGCTCTCTCAAGATTAAACAATCATTTAAAAGTTTAATTAAAGAAAAAGACTATCATGACATACCACTACATCCATGTTGAAATGACTAAAATACACTTTGGTATCTGACTTTGTAGTGGGGCCAGTCTTCCAAGTTGTCGGATTTTGTCCAGCAACGTTATACAACTCATTATAAAAAAGTGCAGGAACTAGATGTCTGGATCAAACTAATAGAACAAAAAGGCAAGAGCCTTGAACATACTGACAATAAAGTGACTGATCATGGGTTTAAGACTAGGTAACAAAAAAAGTTCAGAAAGGACTTAGGAAACAGGGGGTGGTGAAAGTGTGGGTTCAGGGAATTCTGATGATACCGAACTATCAAAGTTATGAATGAGCATACACAAAACTGTTGACCTAGCTTTCATGAGTCTTTTTTTTTCCCCAGAGAGCATACAACTGCCATGTGATAAGAATCCAGAAGGGAATTATAGAAAAAACGTTCAATACCTTCAATGCTGTATATTTGCACTTTTTCCTCAGGCACCGTCACTGCTTCCCACTGATGATCCTTAAATTTAAAAACAGGTTTGAATATAAACAAATAATTTACTCCTGCTTTACACCCTCTTTAAGCACCAGTTTTTAAGTTATACGAACAATAAAGGTTATTTTTTATTAAGTAACTGGGTGATATATTTCTTGTTCGATCAATTGACTGTGTAATACATACATTATAGGCCACATTTAATCTATTTGTTCACTTTTAAAACAAAATGATGGTATAATTTCATGGCTTCCTATTCTTGACCAAAAAAAAAAAGAGTTACTACCATTAATATTAGAGAGTATTCTTTTCAAAAATGTTACCAAATCCTGTCATTCTGCCTTTGAAATATTGTGTGAAATCACACACATGCATCAATTCCTGCTCACTGATGGCATGTCCTTAGATTCGAACATTGAAAGCATATGAATAAATACCAAAAATATTTCTTCCAAGTGCTTTTACTGAAAATTTGTATAACTGAGTAAAATGCCACTGATTTCACACACGCACAGAAGCCACAGGACAAATTAGATACCACTTCTGAGAGAGGAGGTCCTGCAACCTTTCACTGATCTTGTGAGGGAAACAGATCCAGTTCTTTTGTGTTTAAGGACAATGCATTCTATAGAAATTCACCTGAGTCCTCCCCTCTTTGCTAACTCCCTCCTCTGCTCTGCCTGCGTTAAGACCAGTCCACACGCTGAGGGCGCCACCACCATGACGGCACCTGCGGCGAAGGCACCGGCCCCCCCACAGGAGGAAAGGGCTGCTGTTCTCTTCTGGGCCCCACACTCTCCAGGTACAGAAAACCTTGCCACTGGGAGGCATATGCAGCTGGCTGTTATCATGGTCTAACTCCAGACTGAGGCCTCCTGGTTTACCGCCTCCTAAAAAGTGTTTACATTAGGGAAATTTCCAGATGTTTAAGCCAGTAGAAGCCCTGGTGTAACAAAGCCTCAGCAGGCACCGGCACACTCCGCACATCTTGTTGCACCTTCCCTGCCTGCCCTCCCTCCATCGCATGCTCTTCCTCTTGACCTCGGTTTTTATTTAATCTATCGTCCTGGCCATCAGTTTGGAAAAGCTCTTATTCTTAAAGTAAAACGAAGTACCTCATGAAAAGCCTCCCCTGAATCCACATGTCACGTTAGCAAGAACATGCCTTCCCTTAGCGTGGCGTCCTGCCTCCCTGCACAGACACGCAAACATCCCAGCAGCGCCCGGGCCGCAGGGCTCACCAGGAGCTGCTGCCTCACAGATCACCAGCGCGGATGTCAGTTAAGGCCTGTTTTGACTGTGGACCATTTTTCCTCTCCTAACAGAACACCTTTCCCTTCCCTTTCATAACATGACACCCTTCCAGTTTGTTCTCTTTTGGCTGAGTCTTCAAGCATCCCTCAGGCTAGCGTCCCTTCTACCCACGCTGTGTATATCCGTGTCTCCCAGTTCTGCCATTACATCCCATGATTGTGTTTACCATCTATACACAGATGGCTTCCAAATCTCCACTGCGCAGACTTCTCTCACTTGAACTTCAGACCAATACATCTGCCTGCCTGCCAGACATCTTTGCTGAATGTCCGACAAGGATCTCCAAGTCAAAACACTCAAAACTGAACTCCCCATATTTCTGCCTGAGAACGCATCTTCCTGTGACACATCTCTATCCACCCACTGCTCATGCTTTATTAATCCTTCTGCCTCTTTTACCACAGATAAATCAGGTCTGCTCAATTCCATCTCTTCTCAAGTCTTCCTGGAATCCATTCATGTCCATCCATCTCCACTATCACTTTCCAAAACCTCGCCACCGTGATTTCTCACCAGCAGTACTGCAGGTCTCCTAACTGCCGCTGGTCTTGGCCCTTTTTAATCCATTCTCCCCACCAGGAGACGCTCTGAAAAGAGGGTGAGCCTCAGTGCCGAGCAGAAGTCTGGCACACAGCAATTTCTCACTTAGGATTCACTGAATGGAGGTTCCTTCCTACTTGTAACCCTTCTGTGGCTCCATCCTCCCTTATTTGCTTCCAATCTCCTTTCCATTTTATGTATGAACCATACTATGAATCTTTCAGTTCTTTGAGTTTTCTATTCATTCATTCGTGCAAAATATAGGAGTCCTTGATTAGCTATAAATAAGAAGACACAAGTCCTTGATTTCACAGATCTTATACTCAGTTGGAGGAAAACAAACAACAAACAAAATGCCTTTAACCAACAATTACTACTATGAAGGAAACAAGACAATCTGATATAATGTGATTGGGAGGCAACTTTAAACATTAGATTGAATTACCAGAGAATATCTCCACAGAGAAGCAATATTTGTACTGAAATCTAAATGGGAAGAAACTAAGATGCAAAGATCTGGAAGCTTCCAGGCAGAAGAACCAGCAAGTAGAAAGATATGAAATGGGCATGATCTCTGTTAAAGAAACAGAAAAAAGAGTAAACGTGTCTGGAACATAGTTAGCATAGAAAATGGTCTAAGATGTCAGAGAAACTGCCAGGGGCCAGATCGTAAAGACTCTCATATACAATGTTAAAGAGACAAAAGATGGGTTTTAAGCAGCTACCATACAGAATATGGATTACAGGGAGAATGTACTATTGCTACAGAAAACAGAAAAGGGGGGGATTCTAAATATAGTTTTTGAAAGAAGAATCTCCCTATATTTCTAGATCAGTATCTGGACCACACCAGGATTTAACACTTACAAATGCATTTTATACTATCCCTACCATCACAGTACAATTGCTTATTTTCTTGTAGGAATCATCCATTAGACCAAACTGAGTGAAGATAGGGACTACATCAATCCTATTCTATCTTCTTCCAAAATGAAAGCCCATTCCTAAAGAAAATCCAGTTAAAAATATTCCTACAGACCCTACAGGAATAAACACACTAATAAAAATAGTCAGTGACCCTGAGAAGCAGTGCTAGTATTTGGAACTCAACTTTAATTAAGCATTCTATGAAGATACTCTAAAATAAAAAGAAAGAATGGTACGTGGAATTCCTCAGGAGCATTTGGTTAAGGTCTATTTTGTTCATCTGGAACAAAAAGCAGGATGTTGCAAGAGCAGACTAAAATGACTAAATCCCCATTAAAATATCAGCAACCATAATTAGATTAGTAAATGCAGATCAACTCTCAGTTGGATTTTTACAAAGGGACTATATTTCTGGGACTAGAAGTATGCCTATGGACCAAATACTAAGGATAGCTATTTGAAAACAATAGCTCAAGAATTCTGCTCAGGTTAAAAAGAAGTCAGTAGAAAATATACCATCTGGTTAGAATGTTTAAACATAGCTACAATACAGCACATAAAGAAGTAGATCTCAACCAAATACCACCATAAGAATCAACATCTCACTATTTTCAAACAGAAGGTTTTAAAAATGTTTAAGACCACTTGTCATTTCCTGTGAATGAGTGCCTCTGTAGTTGAGTAACTGATATCTTTTCTAAATTTCACTCTGTTCATATGAATGTTAAATGCTCTATCATTAACATGTAATTTATTTCTAAAAGCTTAGATTGAAAAACTATTACTAAACTTTAGCATTTTCTGTTGCAATAAAACATTAGAAATAATTTTCATTTCTAATTAACTGCTAATGGGTTACCATGCTAATCAAAACTATAGGGCTGATACTAAAATCTATTAAAATAACTAGAAAAATAAATATACAAAAAAGCCACATTCTTAAATTAAGACATCGTATACACACACAAACAAACATATAAAACGGTAGATGGAATAAAGCTTACGTCATTTTCTCCAGCAATGTAGAATGATAGAGCCTGGCTACCAAGATTAAAATCTATCCAAAATTCCTCAAGTTTTTCATCTGAAGGTATTTTCAACTAATAAAACAAGCATATAAAACTGTTAACAGACTGTAATTTTAAAAGTGACAACAGAAAATTAGGGCTATGTTATATTCATGGTTTTTTGTTTTTGGTTTTGTTTTTAAAGAAAAGAGGGTAACTGGAAGGTGAAGGAAGATGGAGAGCAGACAAGCAGAGCACTGAGACCGATTTAAAAACAATCAAAAGAAATGCTGCTTTTATACTTTACACAGAAATTAGCTCCAAAAATCATAAATATTCCAAGTGCAAATAAAGGTTAATATCAGTCTGAATATATTAATGAATGATAAATCAAGTAATGGGCTTGATTAAGAAAAAAAGAAAATGTGAAGCACAGACTTTATATTTAAGTTATCCTTGGCTATAAATATACCACTTCAGAAAACACACACACACACACACACAAACACAAATACTAGACTAGCTATATCTGTGATCAAATTATGACTATTTTTAATTTTCTTGTCAACTTATAAGTCGTAATTCACTTGATCCTGGTATCAAAATTCACAAAATAACTAAAACATGTTCAATTCAAAACTCACCTCATATTTATCAAGAAATGCTGATAAACAAGGAAATGTAAAGACCCTGAAATGAAAAGTTATTTGTATTAAAGAAAGGATTAATAAACCTTCACAGTGTAATCTTGACTAGCCATAGAAAGAAAGTATGTCTAGGATCAAAAGGAAATCAGGAAGTGGTCATAATGATTGAAATAAAATCATATCTCCTTCTTTATTCCTCTTTTTTAACGTTTGTTTATTTTTGAGAGAGACAAACAGACCATGAGTGGCAGAGGGGGGCAGAGAGAGAGGGAGACACAGAATCCAATGCAGGCTCCAGGTTCTGCACTGTCAGCACATAGCCCAGTGCGGGGCTCGAACCCACAAGCATTGAGATCAGACCTAGGCTGAAATTGGACACCCAACCCACTGAGCCACCCAGGCACCCTATCCTTCTTTCTTACATTTTAAAATAAGAGTTTAATGGAAATTTGTTTCTAGAGAGAAAGTGTATTATTTTGAGGACACTACTCAACCTCCCATTCTGACTAAAGTGAGTGTACCAATTTACTTTTCATGCTATGACTTGGAGTAGAAATCCCTCATTTAGCGGATACTATTAGTACAGTGGAAGCCCCCAAAGGATTTACATGGGAAAAGAAGAGTAGAAATAAATAGTACTGCTGATAAAAATGACCTCGGGGGTGCCTGGGTACCTTAGTCTTGTTAAGTGTCCAACTCTTGATTTCAGCTCAGGTCATGATCTTATAGTTAGCAGGTTCAAGCCCCACACTGGGCTCCACACTGACAACATGGAGCCTGCTTGGGACTCTTTCTTTTCCCCTTTTTCTACCCTTCCCCCACTAAAGCTCACACGGTCTCTCTCAAAATAAATAAATAAATAAATTTAAAATAATAATTAAAAAAAACGAATTCACAGAACGCTTTCTTAAACAAATAATATTATGAGAACTCAGCATATAGTCATCTAACTTAACTGTCACAATGAACATACGAAGTCGGTGTTAGCAGTATTCTTATTTTGCAGCTAAGGAACTAAGGTAAGTAAGTATAATACTTTGCCCAATATTAGAACATGAAGAGGAGAACCTATAATTCACATCCAAATAGCATGAGTCTCTGCACTTACCCCTCAGCCTGCCTTTTGTTTCCTAAAGTAAAATGAACTCATCTGTTTAATAAATGTATCCTGAACAGCTATAATACAGTGCCAGACACTGAACTCCAAATACTGTACTTTTGTACTGTATTGTAACTAACAAAAATGATAATTACCTTTCATTCATATCCATTCCGGAGATTAGATAACCTCAGAAAGAAGTTAGCCTTACTCTATGTTAATTATAAAAAAAGATATGTGTTTGTCATATATTTTTATTACAGTATGTGGATGAAGGAAGTAGCTCAAGAAATAATGATACCTAGATTTTTATAATAATGCATATGCAATTCTGAATTATAGTAAGTCCATTTTAGACACTCAAAAACAACTCAAAGTTATTGACATTAAATAAAAATGCATGTTTCCTCTAAAAAGTACAATGTAAAATAAGACCAGTAGAAGATAATTTCAGCCTACCAATGTAGTACCTTATTACACATACTGGTACAATAAGACATTGTTTTAAGTATCCCTCTGCATTTTTACATTCCAACAGAATAAAGAATCTCAAATTTTAAAGGTTCAACATTGTGTGGTCTCTCTTGAGCTCCAGTTCTTTATCAGCAAATGGCTGAATACTGTATTAAGTTTACCTTCTCTTGTCTCCAAGCATGCCATTTACAAGGTTGAGAAATACTCGGCAATCCTAATTTTTAAAGAAAGAGACTTTTAAAAAACATAGTAATTTTTAACAACTGTTGTTAATTTGATATTTTTATACTACTCACTGTTTCAAATTCAGAGTCTTTAATTCCTTTAAATGCATTAGCAATAAAATCCATTGAAAACCACTGATATGCCAGTTCTTGTCTTTGTTTTTCTGTAGTCATTCTACATAGTGCTTCTACGATACCTACTTGTAAGTCATAATCTTGAAAAAAAATTAATGTATCATTTGAAATTATGAAAAATAAGCTCATGTAAGTCATCACTTACAAGGTGTTAGAACAAGCAAGAGAAAGAAGGGAAACGTTAGTGCAATTCACTCTTTTTTTGCTATTTTCTTCCTAAGATATAGCCCATCATCACAAAAATGAATACAGTCCAAATAATAAGTTTACTAACAGAAGGAGTAATGCTTTTCCTAAAAAAAAGATATTTAAAAGAAACTCCTAAATATTCAAAGACTCTGCCATCCCATTATTAGAGTTGTGAGTTGCAAAATAACTCACATAATGATCTATAAATCACAGAATCTATTACTTTTGTATGATGTTTATAGTTATTCCAAAGTACTTAAACCAGTGGTTTGTTCTATATGTAAATCACTACATCAAAATGTTCTCATACGAAACTTAGAAAATTTGATTTCTTTTAATAAACACATTGTTTAAAAACAAACCTATCAGTCTCCCAAATATTAAACCTCCCAATTTCAAATATAAAACACCATTTGAGAAATTTCTTAGGAAAAGTAATTCAAGTATATTAGAAAACTAAGTTATTATTCATAAATCTACAACAGGCATAAGTTATATATGACAACTCCTATCATCATGCTTAATTATTATTTTAGCCCCATAAATATAGATCATTTCTTATTAGTAATTAAAAATTGCTCAATTGGACATAGTTTATAATCCTCTCACATAATCTCACTACGTTATACTGTTAATGTTATTTGGACTAAAGAGGTATTATATTCTATTAATAAATCAGGAATAATTTCAAATATAAACATTTTGAAAAAACATACTTACCTCCAGCATCTAAAATCCTTTCTCCCAAACTACTCCTGTAAACCAAATTAACAGATTATATACTAAACTAGTATCAACTAAATAGAAAACTCATATATTTGGGGAGGGGGAATTTTCACTAAAATTTACAATTGGCTAGTATCACAGACCTTTGCAGAACATACAGCCATGAATTATATTAGAAATCTACAACAGCTTATCAGTTTTAATTATTAATGCAACTCATGACTGCCCTATAGCCTTATAAAATATCTTAAATTCTTGACTTGAACCACTAATTAAAGCAATAAAGTACAAATTATTACATGAGAATGAACATTTCTTGGTTACAGAGTATTTTCCTGGCATCTTGAGGCATTTTGTCAAGCATAGCATTCATTTTTTTTAGAGTCTAGAAAAGAAAAAAAGATAATACATTAACTTCATATATTCAGTTATATAAATATACATACGTACATGTTCAAGTATTTAAAGAAATGGTCTAAGTATACAAACTTAAGAGCCTATTTAGCACAGCATTTTATGCAAGGAATGGAGAAGGAAAGAATATAAACTATAAAACGGTGAATACCAAAAAACATGACACAAAGGATATAAAAAATAAAATACAGCATGATTCCTACATTTATCAAAAACAGAATACATCATTTGTCCAGCTATACTCTTTGCAATAAGACATAGGCTTTTTATTACTCTATTTTAAGAACTAAAGAAGCAAAATTGTTATCTGTTCTTATGGTTATATGTACACCATATGTACATGTACACGCATACATATAGTAATATAGGTTATTTTTAGGACTTAAATACTGAGAACTCCTAATATCTGAATGGTAGAAGTTATTTTCATCTGAGCTATGTGTACATAAACCCAGGTGGCTATAAATATTCAATCGATATTTAGGTACCATTTATTCATCATTTTAGGCAATAAATTAAGACAGCAGAAATACAATACATAATTAATACCAAGATAAAGTGAATATTCAGTTTGATGAATTGCTACTAAATTGTCTCCACTTTCCCATTTTTAGGTTTTAAAAGAAAATCTAACAAATGACTTTACCTCTTGCTGAATACAAATATTCACTCTTGAGTCAGTAACCAGGACACAGATTCGAGGTACAAAACTTTCCACTACTTGTCTTTTACCTGAATGAAAGTGTTAAATCATTAGTAAGTGGTTTCAAATTATTTTAAATGGACATCCTTTCTTGTGTGAATTAACAAAAGAATACACTGGTTCAGAAAAAGCCCACTGTCTAGATGGGCATCAGCAAACATGAAATCCAAACCTACCACTTCTACGAACTAGCTATGTGGCTCTAAAAAAACACCATTCAACAGAATGACTCATCTTAACTCTGGCAAAGGAATAACTCCAGATTCAGCTTCTCCTTTTGGGCACCTAAGGCAGTACTGACTTATAGTTCAAAAGTTGAAATTTCTATCGTGAAATAGACAGAAATTTTCTTATGAAATTTCTTAAGAAAACCGGCCTCATTAAGTTAGTCATACAGTAAAACCTTGATCACAAGTAATGTGTTCTGTGAGGGCTCTATTTCTAATAAATATTAACTTGATAAATGAGCAAGGTCATACGAGTAGTATGTGTTGCCAAATGTCACATGATCACAGCTGAGCCATGATCTTCTCTCTCTCTCTGAAGGATCACGGGTGACCATCTCTCATGCTCAGATGCTCAGTTTCAGGGCGTACTATTTGGCAGAAAATCCGTGACTTTTCAGGACATTGGAAGGTGTCCACAACTGGCACTGGGGTATATTTTTTGTCACTTCAAAGCACCTATCAACAGTCCTTTGCTTTTCCAGGCAAGAGCGAGCTCAGGAATGCTTTGCTTCTTTCTATGTCAGGCTGCCTGCAGATATAGATCCTTTCTTCTGCTGCCTTACTGCCAGTTACAGTAAATACAGTAGCTAACCCAAGAGTTTATTAATACTGTACTGTAGTCAACATCTGTTTGAGCATATACAATGGTTGAAAAGAAAGGCGGTTAGAAGGAGGAGATGATTATGGTGGAAGTTAAGAAGGAAACCATCAACAAGTACAAATGAGGTATGGGAGTAGCTGAAACTGCAAGACCATATAAGAAGTCTACATCTGTATCTTATCTGCAGAAGAGCAGGAGAAAAAGGCGGAGGAATCCCTCACATCAAATGAAATTAGGGAGATCTGTAAAATGTGGGAAACAGTACAAAATTTTGCAGAAAAGCACCACCTGAATAAGGCTGTAGCAGTGCTGTGGTAGGGTCCCCTCCCTAAGGAGAGAGGAAAAAAGGGAGAGAAAACTTCCAAGTAACCTATGTGCCTACGTGACAACAGCCTCATGACCTTGTAAATTGAGACAACTTAATCAGACTGCAGGTTTATGTGTGTTACCATATAGGGGGAGACAAAGAAATAGAAAAACGTATAAAAAACTATGTCACGTGACGTTCGCCGCTCAGTTCTTTGGGTATGAACCCAACTGAGCGGTGCCGGCACGAATAAAAGTTGCTTCCTGGATAAAAAAAAGTCTCGGTGTCACGACTCTCTGTGCGAGAATACAGTGCAAGCAATGAATCTGTTTCACGACGATGCAATGCCACACTTCTGTGAAATCCTCAAAAGGCAAAAGAAAGTGTCACTGGATAGGTTCCTTGATTATGTTGCATGAAAAAAAAGGATTCCATTGATAGCAGTGATTCTGTTAGTGACAGTGAAAGTTGTCCTACACGATTACCTTCCTCTCTCCTGTCTCCTTCATCTAAGCCACATAAGTTTTCAAAGGTAAGTATAGGTTAGTTTTTCTTTATATTTTGTATTTTCTTTATTATTTTGTATTATATTACAATATCGTAATCATTTTTATATGAATATTTTTGGGTTGTGGAACAAATCATCTGAGTTTCCATTTCTAAAAGGGGAAATTCGCTTTGATATACAAGTGCTTTGAATTACAGGCATGTTTCCAGACTGAATTATTCTTGTAAACCAAGGTTTTACTATATATTGAAAATTCCACAATGGCCATAAACTCTCATCAATATAAAGATATAAATATCTTGAGCTTTTTCTAAAAGTTAACCCTATTCTAAAAAGAGAAGGCTTTTTATCAATACTAAATACATTCAGAGGAATTTGGCACATGTTATTTCATAATGCAAGTTAAAAAATAATTTTAAATAATGGCAATACTGCAACAGAAAATATACAACTTTCCCAAGTGACTACATTGAAGGTAAAAAGAGGAAAAAAAATCACCCAATGAAGTAAAAAAGATATGATTTACTTAAAAAATTTTTTGATTTCTTCATACTCACTGGTGCCTTAGGACTGTTTCCTTCCCTAAAAACTTAAGAATTTAGGCTAGAGTGTTACATCAATTGCATCATTGCCATCAATGAAAAGGTAGCATTAACTACTATGGAAATAAATAGCAATTGAGCTTTTAAAAGTTTTTGGTTTTGAAGGCAAATTGTTCCTTCACGATTACAAATAATTCACCAGCCTCAATGACCAATCCTAGGTAATTCTTCCTCAACCAACAGAGATAATATAATTTGGATTGATTGCTTGGCACAAAACAATGGCCACTCACAAGCGAGGATGTGTTGTAATGTGTTCTACATTTTGAAAATCTAGTCCCATTAGATCAAGAGTTGGCAAATTACTGCCCACAAACAAAATCTGCCCCACTGCCCATTTTGTATGGTTGTATTACTCATCAGCAGGTGACTCTGTGGAAATATCTGAATCAATCACGTTTCACTAAGCCGGCAGTATCAAAGTGATTTTCATAAACTTATTCTCATGAACTTAGCCAACATCAGTTACCACTGAATGGTTTCAGTAATTAGCATGGGCTGCAGAGTTGATGTTTCTTAATGAATTCAACTCCAAATTACAAGGCAAAATCATGCAGATATGAGAAACTCATACTTCACTAAAGTAATTTCAATGAAACTAAGGTTATCTGAATCATAAGTAATGCCAAACCGTTTCATACATTTCTCAGGCTGTCAAAAATTAAAACAAGGAGTGATATCTCCATTCCCACACAAATTTACAGCAGTACATTTTCTCCAAGCTCCAACTACAGGCTGAGTAGCATTTTTGGACACTGATAAAGTGCGAAGGACATTCCTGTATTTCAAAATCCATTTAAATGTGCAATTGAGAGGTTTCTACATAACCTTCAGTTGAAAGTCATTCATCTGCAATGCAATGACATTCTAAAAGGGAAATATTAGAAAAGAATCTAATCTTCTACAAATGCTTTCCAAGTGATGAACATGCTCAATTAAAAACCATGCACATGAACTGATATCGGTATTTGGTGTTATCTACATGAAGAGACATTTTCTAATGCAATACACATAAAATCTCATTACAGATAAGCATAATAAAATGAACACTTGCAGTGAATTCTGATAACAGCAAACACTAACTCTGAGCCTTAATTAAGTGAAATGTCATCCCCTCAAGAGTACTGTTCTCATTAGTTGACCTATATTCAAAAACACTGTACTCAATTTTATAATATTTTGAATTGTATAAATAAAGCACCTTTGGGTATTTGTTTTCTTTCTTATTATATAAGTAGCTATACAATAGAACATCCTCACTTTCCTTTTCTTGGTCTTAATTAAAGCTTCTAATGTTTACTATCCCTTCACAAAACAAGGTTGTTGATCCTTGAATTAAATAGTAGATTCCTAATATTAGCACAATACTATGAGGATTGCAAAATTATACTAAAATTCTCAGACTAAATTATTGTTTTAATAGAAGTAAAATGTTTATACCTTCATCACTGATGTCATATATGACCTGAAAAAGAAGGAATATTTAGTTTGTATTATAAGCTGTTAAAAATAGTATTAAAATAACAGATCACATTTGAACTCACCATGTAATTATTTAACTTTATTAACTATTTAATTAATCAGGATAAATGCTTTAAATAACATTAAATAACATATAAATAATTTAATAATTGTTTATTATTGTTTAAATAATAAACAATCTGAATAGACTAATTAAATCAAGTCACTGACCAATTTGTTAGTGACTTTTAGGCTCAGGAGATATAGAATACAAATCAATTTTTAAATAAACAGGCTTCTAAGATCAGTTAATGTGATTTTTTTACCATCAAAAGATCAAATAAGTCTTCTATCATATTTATAACTGCCTCATCTTTTGAATTTCCTCGATTGAGAATAATCTCCTTGGATTTGTCAAACCAGGCAATCATGTAAAAAAAGAAATGTGCATATTAATTACTTTGAATTCATTTTTAATAATTTTAAGAATGTACTTAATTTTGCATAAACAGTAAACCTAGGAATAAATAAATATCAACACTTTAAATTCCAATATAATATGAAAATAAGTTTATGTTTTCAAACATCTGTTGTTTTCATTTTTTGGTATCTCAGTATCTTTTTCTATTGTTTAGATGGGAATGGATGAACTAATCTTAATTCTAGGTAGAAGACCTTTATTTCCTCCTTCAAATAGCTAGTTCAGGTACATTCATTAACAGATGAAAATAAATTATCATCGTAAATTATTTTGGCATTATTCCTTTTTGAAAAGTTTTAGTATTATTTTATTGTTTTTTTTTTAAATTTTTGTAATGTTTTATTCGTTTATGAGAGACAGAGAGAGAGGACAGAGTGTGAGAAGGGGAGGGGCAGATAGAGAGAGAGAGAGAGAGAGAGACACGGAATCCAAAGCAGGCTCCAGGCTCTGAGCTGTCAGCACAGAGCCCTGCATGGGGCCTGAATTCATTCACTGTGAGATCATGACCCGAGCAGAAGTCAGATGCTTAACCTACTGAGCCACCCAGGTGCCCCTTAATGAATTTATTTTAATTAATCATTTTATTTTAATACTATTTTTTTTAATGAATTCAGATATTTGAGTATATATTACATCCCAGGTACTGTTCTTAGTGCTAGGTATATAGAAATGAACAATACAAATGAAAATCAATATCCCACATTCTAGCACAGGAAATAGATAATAATATAAAAAGAAAAACAAATAAAGCTAGATAGTAAACCGATAAGAGAAAATAAAGCACATAAAGGCCTTAGGGAGTCTTGTCTTAAATTCACATGATCATCAAGGAGACTGTGTACAGTGTCCTTTTGATCTTTATGTTTGTAACATGTAACACAGGTTATAAAAATATTTATTTTATCTAAAAGTTTTATTTAAAGTTCTCAAATTCATTTTTCAACTGTTTGAGCCATTAATTTTATTAAATGACATACCTTTAATCATACTCCCTCACATCAATATTACACACTCTATTCATCATACTCCCCCCACATCAATATCATATATTTTATTAATCATACCCCCCCACACATACACACACATCAACATTACACATTCTGTACTTATCTTCTGGACTAGTCCTTGTTTTATCATAGTTAAAAGTCCAGCTTGCCCCAATATCCTGATATTTTTACTACATCTTCCAAAAGAAACCAAAATGGTTGAAACAGTTTGGATGTCCTTTTTATTGAGCTCCTGAAACAAAAAGTATACACTTAAATGTCTATAAACACAAAACAGTATGGAATTGGCATTGTGCTAGGAGCTTTATAACCCTCACAAATCCTGAAAGTTCGCCATTATCATAACATCCGTATTGCAAAGTACAAAAGTGTGGTTTAGAAAAGCAAGGCCTAAAGCCACCCAGCCAGTGAATGACAAACTCAATAAAAATGTAAATTTGTATAAATTCCTGAGACTTTAGACTATGATACAATGTATCAGTTACCTTCCATTCTAAAAAGCTCTCTGTATTTAACTAACAGATAAAAGCAATTTTTATTCAATCTTTTAGATTCATCAAACAAATCTCATACTGCGGGAGACTGTCAATAATCACTTTTTCTCATGTATAAAAATACCTTATATATGATAAATCATGTCCAAGGTTGTGGATAATTTTTGTTTATCACCAAGCTCTGGCCCTATTAACATGAAGAATATGCTGACCGCTTTTAAAAGTTGCTCAAACTTCAATCAGGGAGACTATTTTCTCCAATTTAGGTAACAATGAATAATTATGGCTCCACTATGTAAATAGCTCTTTGTAGGTTATATTTAGAAACAGCAGTCCAGTATGTTGTTTGGGATTCCTAAGACTTTTTTTTTTTTTTTTAAATGAGCACTTATTGGGGCACCTGGGTGGCTCAGTCGGTTAAGTGTCCGACTTCAGCTCAGGTCATGATCTCGTGGGTTCATGAGTTTGAGCCCCACATCAGGCTTGTGCTGACAGCTCACAGCCTGGAGCCTGCTTCAGATTCTGTCTCTCTCTCAATAATAATTAAACATTAAAAAAATGAGCACTTATACAATTATAAGCCAATTTACCAAAGTCTTTTTATTAATTTCTCCTAATGGAGTATTTCTTCCTAGAAAGTAGAGTGCTATCTAATAATATCAATAATCATTCAAAGAAAAGGAGTACTTACCCTGCACACAAGGTCATCCAACTTGTGTAAAAATTGTTTGCTGCATTTAATCCTCACATCTCGACAAATATCAATTTGTAAAAGTGTTTTCAAAGGTTTGAAATCATTTTTTCTTAAAGCATCATCAATGCATTTTTCCAATTGCTAGAGAAATATAGTTAATGGTACAAATATTGAACCAAAACCAAAATTAGTCATTTTATGCAGTCTAGTAATTTGAGAATTCTCTTCACATGAAAATTCTCAACAGATCTTTATCAATTCACTGTATTAAAAAAAAAAAAAAAAAAAAGAAAAAAGAAAAAAGACCCTGGGGTGCCTGGGTGGCTTAGTGGTTAAGAGTCCACTTCAGCTCAGGTGTTGATCTCGCAGTTTATGGGTTCAAGCCCCACGTTGGGCTCTGTCATGACTGCTCAGAGCCTGGAGCCTGCTTTGGATTCTGTGTCCATCTCTCTGCCTCTCCCCAGCTCATGCTCGCATGCTCCCTCTCTCTCTCTCAAAATAAACATTAAAAAAATTTAAAACAAAGACCCTATTAATAAAAGAAGTAAAATAAACTATATAGTAACTAATACTTATCACCATAGAGAAAATCCTAACACATCTGACTATAAATTTCTTAATGAGGTTTAGTTTTTTAAAAAGGCTTAAAGACAGATAAAAGCACTGTTTGGAAACTACAAATCAATATAATTTAAGAATTACATATTATAATAATTTACTTAAGTAAGAATTATACTATACATTTTTAACTTCTACAAAATCTATTCTTACTACTAAAGTATAACATCACTAATAAGGAATTTTTATACTATAATCTGATCACCAGATTTGGTGGTAAACTACATACATGTTAAATAGATATATTAAAACTTTTTACCTAAATGCTAGTATCTCACAATTTTAAATCCTAACATAAAAATACCCAGGCATTGGTTATATATGCATCACTGTGTAATTCTTTTCAATGGAAAAGGTATATGTAAATAACCAGCATCTTTCATACCTCATAAGTAATAATAGATTTTGAAAACAAATTTATTGAAAAAATTAAAGAATAACATTTCACTTATTCTACTCTTGAGAGGCACCTGGGTGGCTCAGTTGGTTAAGTGTCCAACTTCAGCTCAGGTCATGATCTCACAGTTCATGGGTTCAAGCCCTGCATCGGGCTCTGTGCTGACAGTTCAGAGCCTGGAGCCTGCTTCAGATTCTGTGTCTCCCTCTCTCTCTGCCCCTCCCCAGCGCTCTTGCTCGCTCGCTCTCTCTTTCTCTCTGTCTCATAAAAATAGTAACGTTAATTTTTTAAAAATTTTTAATTACTCTACTCTAGACCATTTCATAAAAACAAGTAGCCTTAGTTTTTCCTAAAAATATAGCACTTAACACTTATAAATAAACCAAAATGATTTTAGGAATTAAAATACTTCCTTTTGGTTTAGAACTACATACCTGGAGATCTGGTCTTATTGGCATTTTGATTTAATTTCAAAACAGCAAGACAAAACAAACACCTATAAAACAAAACATATGCTTTCAGTACTTTACAATCTATTCTACATGTTTACAGTTCAAAAATCTTAATACACATAAATAAGCATCAGTGCTTACACCAAAGGCAATAAGTAATTTCTTCAGGTTCCTCACTATTACACATTTGAATTTGATCAAAGAAGTTTCTGGAGGAAAGCCTGAAGATCCTTTATTTAGGCCTTCTTTTTTTTTATAGATTACTTAAATAAATATCCAAAGTCTTGCAAAAAGCTCACAAAACTAGTTAGTGAACAAAACAAGCCTGGACCTCCCGCAGGAGGAATTCCTGCTGTATATGTGTTTCAACTTTGGGAACAAGAAGAAAAATAATCCTGAACTAATGTGTAAATGAAATTCAATCTAGTAACATAATATTTAAGAAGGGGAGAATATGCAAGTATGTTACCAAAGAACAGGATATAGGAGAACAAATATGCAAGGAAGGGAGTGAGGAAAAGAAAACCTAAGAACACAGTCCCTGCAAAGAAGAACGGAAAACAGGAATCAACCGGGCTACACTCAGCACCTCCTACCATCTTCACAAAAGCATCTAACATTTTCAAATGCAATTTACATGTTAACTTTATAAAGGAAAAGAAATGCCATCTTTTCTAGACATTATAAGTGGAACAACTTAAAAATCATCTGTACTTGAAGATATTTGTAATAGAAACACTAGGAAACCCAACACAAAGAGGCAATTAATTAATCCAGGTGAATATAGCACCATGTGCTCCTAAGAACACGAGTGACATTAGTCACAGCCTACTTTCTTGCACGTATTAGTAGAGAAATTTAAGTGCCAATGAGGACATACATATTAGGCATACGAAAGGCATGAGTAAAATAATCTCTTGTATTTTCAAATTAACTCTAGGGGGGAAAATCTGATCCTCAGAGAAACATTTGCTCCATGTTTTTAGGAGCCAAGTCTAATGGTGTTTCTGCAACACTGTGGGAAGTGGCAGAAATTCAAAAGTACCCAGATAGGCGTTGGGAATGGGAGGGAGGGTGAAAAATGAATAAATAAAATGTGGTATATGATAATCAATTTTGTAAACATAACAGATGAACCATAATTTTAGATATTTGCAGTCAATTTTAAGTTAAATTAAAACACAATGTTGACAAATGATACATACTGTGTAATGGCATTTATTTAAAAAAATGGTCTTACGTATGGTTATATCCCTAGGTATAAATATATACATATTTGCACATATGTATGTGTGTTTATGTGTGTGTGGGGGGGAGATAGAGAAGAAAAGGTGAGAGGTAGGGGGAGAGAGGTAGGGAGAGAGAGGGGGGAGAGGGAGAGAAGGGGAGGGGGAGAGGGAGAGAGAGATCTATACCGTTTCGGGACAGTTGGGACGTTTGTCAGCTTACTGGTGCGGAAGAGTGGTCAGTTGCACAGAACTGTAACTTGCTCTTTATCAAAGGCAGGCTTTATTTGTAATTTATGCTTATGTGCCTTTTTAAAAGTACGATAAATTCTTGCCAATACATAGGTAAGTGAAATCCCAACCATGGGACATGTAAAGTGTGGGTTGGGTTAGAGTGAGGGGACAAAAATGACCAAGGCCAGCCTTGACAGTTAAGCAGGTGGAGTCTAGCTGCTCCATCCAAACCTGTTCAGGGGCCAGCTGTGATTCTGCCCCAGCTAGCTGTGCCTGTCTGCTCTGACCTATATTATAGGCCCGAGTGCAGATCTAAGATCCCCACAACCCAATAAACACCAAATCTAAACATCTGCATTATCCTAGCTGTTCGTGGATATCTATAGATATATGTTGCTCGCTCTAGCTCGTCCCTATCTAACCTCCAATAACCGTAACACAAACCACAACGACCCAGACAAATAAAATTAACGTTAATGTAGCTTAAACACGCAAAGCAAGGCACTGAAAATGCCTAGATGAGTCGTCAGACTCCATAAACATAAAGGTTTGGTCCTGGCCTTTCCATTAGTTATTAACAGGATTACACATGCAAGTCTCCGCATCCCGGTGAAAATGCCCTCTAAATCACTAACCGACCTAAAGGAGCGGGCATCAAGCACACATACGTAGCTTATGACGCCTTGCTTAGCCACACCCCCACGGGATACAGCAGTGGTAAAAATTAAGCCATGAACGAAAGTTCGACTAAGCCATGTTAAACAGGGTTGGTAAATCTCGTGCCAGCCACCGCGGTCATACGATTAACCCAAATTAATAGATATACGGCGTAAAGCGTGTTATAGAGCAAACCCCAACGATAAAGTTAAACCTTAACTAAGCTGTAAAAAGCTGCAGTTAATGTGAAAATAATACACGAAAGTAGCTTTAACACATCCGACTACACGATAGCTAAGACCCAAACTGGGATTAGATACCCCACTATGCTTAGCCCTAAACCCAGACAGATAACTAAACAAATCTGTCCGCCAGAGAACTACTAGCAACAGCTTAAAACTCAAAGGACTTGGCGGTGCTTTACATCCCTCTAGAGGAGCCTGTTCTATAATCGATAAACCCCGATACACCTCACCACCCCTTGCTAATCCAGCCTATATACCGCCATCCTCAGCAAACCCTAAAAAGGAAGAACAGTAAGCACAAGTATCCTGACATAAAAAAGCTAGGTCAAGGTGTAGCCCATGGGGTGGGAAGCAATGGGCTACATTTTCTGCACCAGAACACTTCCATACGAAAATTCTTATGAAATTAAGGATTAAAGGAGGATTTAGTAGTAAATTAAGAACAGAGAGCTTAATTGAATCGGGCCATAAAGCACGCACACACCGCCCGTCACCCTCCTCAAGTGACACACAACCTAATAATCCTATTTAACTCATAATAAACACAAGAGGAGACAAGTCGTAACAAGGTAAGCATACTGGAAAGTGTGCTTGGATAACAAGATGTAGCTTAAATAAAGCATCTGGCCTACGCCCAGAAGATTTCATGTTAAACTGACCATCTTGAGCCAAACCTAGCCCAAACAACCACAAACTCAACTAACACAAGCACGTAAACCAAAACATTCAACAATTCATAAAAGTATAGGAGATAGAAATTTGATTTGGCGCTATAGAGACAGTACCGCAAGGGAAAGATGAAAGAACGGATTAAAAGCATCACACAGCAAAGCTTACACCTTGTACCTTTTGCATAATGAGTTAGCTAGACATATTCTAACAAAGAGAACTTAAGCTAGACCCCCCGAAACCAGACGAGCTACCTACGAACAATCTTTACAGGATGAACTCGTCTATGTCGCAAAATAGTGAGAAGATTCTTAGGTAGAGGTGAAAAGCCTATCGAGCCTGGTGATAGCTGGTTGCCCAGAATAGAATTTTAGTTCAACTTTAAACTTGCCTAAAAAACCCAAAGTTCTAATGTAAGTTTAAAATATAATCTAAAAAGGTACAGCTTTTTAGAACTAGGATACAGCCTTCGTTAGAGAGTAAGCACAAACACCTATATTCTCTTGTTAGAGAATGTTTTATCACACACTTCCAAGATTTTAGTACACACACACACACACACACACACACACACACACAGACTTGCTTCATAGATAGAAAATAGTGGGGAAAAGACATGAAAAATATTATCTCAAAATCAGGGGTAAAAAATAAGTACTTAAGGTCAACAACCAAATGGGGGGTTAATGAGGAACAGCACTGGCCTGAGAACCTTAAGTATCTACTACTGCCACTATTATCATAAGCTTGGGGGGGGGGGTGGCTCTCTGTACAAGGAACAATTCCTTGGGTAATATCCAGAGTATCACAAAGAAAGGAAACGGTAAAATGTATATAAGAAAAAGTTGAGATATGAAGGAGAGATGTAGATATTCCAGTATCTATTCACAAAAATTATTTTAAAAAGATAGTGGTATATAGTTAACAGTTGAATAGCCAAGAATTTTCCCAAATATAGACATCCATGAATTTAAAGAGTCCACTGAATTCCAAAGAAGACAAATTTTAAAAAGTACATCTATAAACATTAAGAGGATATTTCTGAATAATAAAAGAGAAAATCTTAAGTCAGAAGAGCAAAAACAAAAGCATGCAAAAGAATAAGATAGATACCCTGTTCTCATAACACAATAAATTTAGAAATCTGCTACGAAGGTAGCTTCAAACTTCCCCTCTATTTGGAAATGAAAAATATGTATATTTAAACAGTCCTCACTATATAAAAAGAGAGAAATGACTAAATATCTAAGTGAATGAGAAAATGTGTACATATAAAAATCTGTACGATGCAACCACAGCAATATCTAAAGTGAAATTCATGGACTTGGATCAACCTATTGAAAAGTGACAACAGAAGTAGCCTAAAGTAATAGGGTCACATGGCCTCCAGATGGTAAAGTTATTAAATACTTTAAAGTAACTATAAGTACTGTGTACGTAAAGTTATTTAAAAAGACTGGGAACTCTGGCAGAGAACTAGAAACTGGGGTGGGGAGTAAGGAAGGTCACAGAAAATTTGAACAAGAACCACATAATTCTAGAAACAAGGAACAGTCAATAACAAAATTTAGAACAAAATGAAAAGACGCACAGATGAATGAAAATTACAGAACCAGAAGCTAGATCAAAAAAAAAAATATGGAGAAAGCAGCAAAGATACACAAAAATATGGGGAGACTAGAAGAACAACATAGAGGGTAAGTGATGAAGCCCTATGTATCTGTAAATGAAATCCTTGGGTGACAGTGAAGGGGGCAGAAGCGATACCTAAGAAATGATAACTGAGAATTTCCCAAAACCAATAAAAGACATCACTATAGATTCAAAAAGTCCTATGAACCCCAGAAGGAAAAAAGAAAAACTATACCCAGGTATACCACAGAAAACTGCTAACAATCAAATATAAAAACATTAAAAGGTGCCACAAAATAAAAAAAGACAGCTTACTTTTAAGTAGCATCAATAAGACTGATAGCTGACCAACAGAAACTATAAAAGACAGAAGACTTAGAA